ACTCGACTCAAAGCAAAGCAGAAAAATCACTCTCTTCCCACCGACACTTTCACAGTATAGATCACTTTCTAGAATAGTGAAAAAACAACCAGAAGTGATCTGTGCACCCCGGGGGTTCAGTCTGAGAAACAAACTCATCTTCATCGTGGTATAATACCTCATCTCCCTTACGATATGAACTAAACTTTTTCTGTTTTCTCCAAATTTTCTTCCGTAAAAATCCCCCATTTCTTCTCATATTTCACATGTTATAGAAATAAAACTGCACATAGACAAGCAAACAGAAACGTGTGGATACAGGGTTTGGTTTTTCTCTGGACTTGTAAAATAGTCACTTTGTGTATCTAAGTATCAAATCAAAAAAGTGAAGTGTTCAGTTCATCCCCACAGAACAAAGAGCTCAGGATCTGCGTGGTCTTTCTTTCAAGTCTGACCCTTGCCCAAGGATTCAGACGCAGCCAGTCTGGAAAAGTTTAACCAGCTCTGAACAGTCCGGGTCGATCAGGTCAGCTGGTTTCTCTCCGTTCTCATTCTCGGCCTCTGTGCTGGCACCCAGAGTTAAAAGGTACCTGCAGGGAATAAAATAGACTCTATTTCAATCCTGTTGAACTGATTAGCAATGGTTTCTGAATCCGAATCACTCTTTTCAGAGAATTTCTTCTCACTATATTGAGCTTAAATCAGTGTTTCTCAATCTATGCAGCGCATGGGTAGGAATTGTTGCCGGGGCACGAGGGCAACGAGATTTAATTATCTAATCAATTGCAAATTAAATCAACCAACTCCCTCCTCTCACATTATTAAACACACTGAAATAAATTAGCCAAACAGAACCTGTTTTAAACCTGTTTCGAATTCAGTACGAATGACACAATCCACTTATTGTTTAAGTTTTGCTTCAAATATGTGTAGAAAGTAAAATATTTATTTTTGTTTTAAACGACCATTACAAGAGTTATAATTTGCAACAAATGTGCAATCTGAAATGTGATCTGTTTCAGATTCTTTTAGACCCCAAATCGGTGCCATCTAGTGGTGAAAAAAAGGATAACGTAAGACATGTCATAAGGGCTCTATTTTCTCAAAATTTCTGCACAAAAGAAAGCACAATGGAACAAAAAGTACTTGGAACAGTGTATAATGTGATACAATTTTCACATTGTTTTGACTTTGTATTTGCTTTTTAGGGGTATTTATGAATTTTTATTTTGTATCAACATAAAAACTGATTGTGGTCAATTTTTTTATTTTTTGCAGTTAGAAAATCGTGCTCAGAATTGAATCAGGGTTGTGGAATTATTGTGCAATGTAATGCAAAAGAAGCTTGGATTTTTCTAAAAAATGATATGAAGCATTGACACAAAAATTGTTTTAAAGATAATTTATTAGAGCATAATTTGTAAAGTAGTAAAAAAAAAATGCCCAAAAAGGTTCCAATTATTTTGGGGGCTTTTCCAGCTTTTATTTAAGACAGGACATTGAGCAAGTAGAGAAATACATCAGGGTCTGGAATTGAACCTTTGTCGCACAGCATATATGTCCAGCACACCTTCACCACCGTGCTGGACAGTTCCAGCCCTTTTCAATAAGAAAACTAGTCCAAATAAAACGTACAAATGTAATTAATCTGTGCGTTTTATTCCATCATTAACAAGCCAAAAGTTATTCTAAATAACTCTTTAGAAATATTCCTGCAATGAAGGGCACCCCTTACAATTTTCTTCTCTTTTTAATCAATTAAAAATGTTGTACATCATATTATAATTTACACATTTCGTGCTAAAATATAGCATTTCAGTAAAAAAAAATCTGTAATCACGTATTACTAGAGTGACCATTATTTGATTTCCAAAAAAGAGGACAGTCGACGCGGCCTCAAGACACAAATTCAGACAGGCTTCTTGGAGGTTGATGATTATTATTCCTCTTAGGTGCAAAATTAACTTCTGTTATAGAATAAAATAAAATCTGTAAAAATGAGTAACAAAAATAGCTCTCTTATACTCTTTACAAATAAATAAATAATAATATGAACTTATGCTCTAAATATGAACTCTTCTGTTAGAAAATCCAGCTTCAACAATCTATCTCTGTACCTGTAATAAGATAAATAATAGAAGAGTCTCTCTCTCTCTCTCTCTCTCTCTCTATATATATATTTATATATATATATATATATATATATATTTATGATCTATACTTCTCTTCTTTCAATTACTTCTCTTGGGCAACAAACTAGTACCGTAGTATTGTGTGCAAAGCAGCGTACGCTGCTGACTGGACGCAAAAAGTGGACTTGTCAGGGCAAAGGTGGACGATTGGTCACCCTACATATGACAAAAAAAAACATAATAAATAACATTTCTTTACATTCGGGATAAAAATCAAATTTTTATTTTATTAAGAACAAGCTAGTCATTTCAGAACATTTTAAAAGTTTGTATAAGAGTGTTTTTGTTTATTCAAAGACTCCTGCTCATAGCCAAACAATATTTAAAAAGATGTTTCTTATTCTAAAAGTAATTACAAAATTTTTTTTCTCATCTGTCAAGGGGTTCATCGCATTAGCTTCCTCCAACTAAAAGCAAAACAAAAGCCTCTGCGTCACACCATATGTTACAGCAGGATTTGTCTGATCAAGACATCTATGGACATTCTGGTTGCATGTGGAAAGTTAAGTACAAATCGTTAATTATTTACAATGATTTATTGGAGAAACTGTTAGCTCATGAGGTGTTCTGTAGCTAATGCAGTCCCTCACTGAGAGAATGAACAATCCCACACTTGAATAACATTTAATTCTATATACTTTAAAATGTTTTTCAACCCACACAAGAGACGGCTAGGGGCTGCATTTAACTCATATAAGGAATTTTTTGGTGCAGCATTTCTTAAAGGCGATTCAGAGACATTTCCATTTCAGTGGATGCGACCTCAGAATAGAGAAAGATCATGTGCATTCTCACCTTGCGATCTCAGGGTATCCGTCACTGCATGCCATGTGGAGTGGTGTCCAGCCGTTCTCGTCTCTCTGATGGACGTCTGCACCGTATTTCACCAGCAGCTTCACACACTCCAGGCTACCTGAGAGCACGGCCTCATGCAGAGCTGCCATTCCTGAGGAGACAACCAGGTTTGATCAAGCCATGGAGGGAGATTTTCCATGGAAATATGTTGTTTGGAACATTACCCCTAGGACCCCTAGGTTTATCTACACGCAGGATGAAATTCGAGATCAACAAGTTATTCTCTTTTAATATGTGTCTCACAGCAAACCAAGAGGGCAAGCACCTCTCTCTCCTAGTTCCTGTCTCTTCCCGTCAGGAATATAACCGTTGTCACTTTTCCAATGAACTTTTGTTGCTTTCGACATTTATAACAGCACGGCTCTACTCAGGGGGCCGTGTCCACCGTGTTCTGTACCCTTGTTGATGACTGACTGGACAGCTCTCTGATTGGCCATAAAGAATCATCCCAGAAATGTGTTATTACTGTGTGCGACACAAAACTGAGGTAAAACCAACCATCCTTCTTTTAACTGAGCCATTCGTTTGAGTGCAACCAACATATTCAGCATAAAACTTCGATGGTCTCCATACTTCCATGTTTTGTGTTTGTTTCTTTTTGTTTTTTTCATGCAAGGGTTGTGCACATGTCACATTTACTGTGATGTTACCAACAACGACGTAGTGGTGTGGAGTGTTGTGACATTTCTAAACCAAACTCAGAGCGGATACTGGGCAGAAACACAAACTGTGGCACGTAGAGCTATCCCAGACTAAGTCCAGTTGTGTCGCTTCTAAAGTCTGGTGGAAAAGTGTCTCTTAAATAAGAGAAAGGTGAATATAAATACGCCTCTGCATATGAAATTGTGTGAACTTTAAAATAATCACTTGTGCAACATTAGCCATCGAACGAGTTTTTGCCCTCCTGATGTACTGGTCTGTCTCCTGGTACCACCTCCATGCTCTGGACACACTAAAGTCAAGTGGTCACCATCAGCAGTTCATCTCCTTTATCGGTGGTGTCTTGCTGACCATCTTTCATTCCACCTGTCGTCTATGCTCTTTGTACAACGGTATACAGTGAACCCTCGTTTATCGGTTCCAGAACTGGCCGCGATAGCTGAAAATCCGCGAAGTAGGGACACCATATTTACAGTATTTATTTAACAGGTATTCAGCATTCAGAGTTTGAAAACCCTCCCTTTACATAGTACTGTTAACAAACCACCCTTAATACCTACATACAGTAAAATAAAACAGTAAGTGAACATAAAAAAATAGAAAGATTGTTATGGTGTGTACTGTACAACTGCACAGTATTTTACTTACCACGATAGAGTTGGAAGTTTCAATAAAGCTCTCCTCGTATGTACCAGATTTTGTACTGAATTATATTTCATAATCCAATGATCCAACAGTACTAGCAGTACTAGCATTTGAGTTCATAAAACTTATTAAAGGCCACTGTTCTGAGTTTTTCATCAGATATGGACGTAACCTTGAGAATAGACAAGATTTAAGTTTGGTTCGTAATCATAGGACACTCGACTCCTATTATTATTAGCTTTTGGTTTTCATACACAACCCAGAAGGCGATGGGTATCCTTTGTATTTCGAGTGTTTACAGCAGTAGTTAATTCAAACACTTCTCATGTGTTTAGTTATGACTGGAAAAGTGAGTGGATGAAAAGATCCTGGTCATTGTTTGACATTGAGCTTCAGACTGTATCTTACATATATATGACATAGACATAGAGATGAAATAGAAATGACAGAGATGTGTTCTTTTCTATTTACAGCCTGGGGCAGTGTGGCCAATTGAACGCAAACTTTACTAGATTAGAAATGTAGCACCTTTTTTTATTTTATTAATACAATAAAACACCCATTCAATTTGTGTAATGCATTTTCAATTCAATGATGTAAAGCATCAAAATATTTATTTACAAAATATAAGTACAACTATAATTTGAGAATGTAAGTTATGAAGAGAATGCTGTTGTTCAGTTGGTAGAGCATTGTGCTAACAACGCAAAGGTCGTGGGTTCAAATCCCAAGTAAAGCAAGAACTGACCAAAAGAAAAAATGTGTTGATTCTTTCAAATGTAAGTCGCTTTGGATAAAAGGGTCTTCTAAATGTGTAAATGTAAATTATATTAGTTCCAATAGAAATGTACCCGTATTTAATAAGGAAATGCACATGTAAAAGGATAAATACATTTAATTTACATGTTGCAATTGCACAAGCTACACACAAGCTTCCATACGGGTCAAGCAGTGACTTTCTTTCCCATTTTCTGCTTGCAGGTTGGATGCCTCCAAGAACAGAACTCAAGATAAAACAAAATTGTCCCCTTTTTACATTGCAATCACACACCGTTTAAAAGCAATTGATCTAGATTTTTATTTACTTCAGCTCACCCTGTTTGATGAATATTCAAAGTAGTTCAATCTGTCAATGAATGTTTATGTACATTTTCTTAAGTTTATGTAACAATGGCGTAGTCAGTATAGGCCGGCGGAGGCCTTCCCGAGAGGAGTTTGCATGCTGTCCCTGCACGGTGGATTTCCTCCAGGTTCCCCTTCCCCCTACGAGCCCAAACCTCCATCATGTCAACTCAATTCTCTAAATTCTTCTGTTGATGTGTGAGTGAATGTTTGCAGGGTGCACTCCACCTTTCCCACCAAGCAACCCTGTAACATTACATCAAGTCTATCCCAGCATGAAAAATGTAGTTGAATGCAGAAAATCGAGGATTTACATGCTTTCTCTCCGAGGCCATGCCAGACGAAATCCACTCACCAGAAGGGAAGATTGTGTCCAGTCGAACTTTCCTGGCCCTCATGAAACGTCCGATCTGCTCAAGCTCACTGTGCCGCACTAAATCCTGGAAGACCACATCGTTGGTGAAGCGGACAGCCCGAGCTGGTTTGACGGTAATAGAAGGGGTCAGCTGAACCCCTGACCTCGATGAGCCGGTCAGTCCAAGAGTCTTGGCACAGACAGAAGTATATGAAGATTTGGGTTTGTATGAAGGTGTGTACGCAGGTGGAGTGTAGTACGATCCAGTGTGGAGGGCACTAGGGCTGTACTTTGGTGAAGTGTAGTATCCGGACGAGTACGAGCTGTGTGATGGTGTGTATTGAGAATAACTCGGTGTGTTGGATCGTGTGTAGTGGGACACTGGGCACTGGTAGCTGAACTTCATTCCCGCAGATGCCACGGCTTCGCCTGCCCCCCTCAGCTCGAGAGGAGGACACAATCAAAGGTGAAAAATGAAGATTAGCCCCAAAAAAGAGTACAATCCTTTCGGGATCTTGAACTTTGACTTTTTTCGGATCACAGGCTTTGCTTTTTCAGACCGGTTCACTAGTCCTCAGTGACTCGTCCAGAGGGATCTGCTTCTTTTGGTTTCAGAGCTTTCTGCTCATCTGAGAGCAAAGCCTCCCTAAATACCCTTGGTTGGGTTATTTTAGGGCTGCAAGCTCTCGTATACCAGGAGAGGCTGTTTTGTAACTCCTCCCATGAACTTTCACATGCACATCAACTTTCGATCCCTCCCCTCAGAAAACAAGTGTGAATGTCTTGCTGACCCGGCCGCTTTACAAACTCACAATACTTGCTCTTCACTGACTGAGCTCATGACAGCGGTGTGGTAGCACACACATGTTGACAGCTGCAGTCAAGGCATTTTATGACAAGGTTTAACGTTCAAAACTCTCAAGAGACATGTTATCCTCTATTCAAAACAGACCTGTTGTAAATCATGGCCATCAGCAGGGTGTCCGTGCAGCTTAGAGCCCCGCAGAAAAACAGGCTATAAATGGGCTGGTGCTGGGATGGGACATAAATCACTGGTTACCTTTGGTTTTGAGGGTCTGTTTTAAATGCTCAGGTAGGTCAAACACACTGGTTACATAAACTGGTTAGTGAAGGGCAGGAAAGGGATAGCTGATGATGATGATTGTAGAAATACGATTCTTTGATTACTTTTCAATACAACGTCATTTAAGGAGCCTAATGTGTTGGAATAAAATAAAAGTTACGATTGTTTGCAGGCTCCTTTATGGTGTATCTTTTTAACTCTAACACCTTTATTATTTCTATTTATTTTATTTATTTATGATTATTTTTTATTTTAGCTGTTTTATTATTAATTAATGTTAACTTTATTGTTTATTATTCTCATGTTAGTTTCAGTAAGTCAAATATTCCTTAAATTATGAGTGTTGCGATTACTTAAAACCCAGTGAAGACTCCTTGGTTTGATATATGTTTTAAAATCTTATGTATAGTATATTTGATAGACTTCTTTTATCGTACAGTGTAAGATTTAAAAAAAAAAAACAGTGAACCAATGAAGAATTCTATTCCATTCAAAACCATCCATCCTGTTTTCATACCATCGATTGGCATCATTTGTTCTTGAAAATCCCCTAAAAAGTTCCAAGTTGGAGTCATGGACTCTTTGTAAACTTTTGTAACTTCTTGATGGACCATTTATGTAAGCTCAGAAATCATGGCTGGTATCCTCTTGATTAATACCGGCGTTGACCCTCAAATTCAGGGGTCTCAAACTTGCGGCCCATATCGCGATGATACGATAATGTGTGCCCCCGACTTTAATACAAAAGTTTAATGTTAGTGCGGCCCAAAAGTTTGATATGAATGGAACTTCGTAGTGTTTTGTGAGGAGCTGGATGAAACTCCCAATCACAGTGGATTATGTGGCCCTCAGGGCGGGACATTGAATGAGTGAAAGTTACAGCAGTGTTATGTGTTTTCTTCCGTGTCTGGCTGGCTCCCTTGTTTCTCCCTTGCACAGGTGGACATTTGACTAAAAAACGTAAGGCACAATGTCTATTCCATCTATTGGATGAGCCAGAAGCCAAAATGCGGAGACAAGGTACCTACACACCCACACATGTACCCCTGAACTTACACTTACACATTTTTTAAAGTTTCTTTCAGCACAACATTACAAGTAAACATATACACACTCAATAAGAGGTCTCTCTTTCTCTAAAAAATAAATCACGTGATCCTTATGTGGCTGGATATTAGAAAAGTAAAGTCATACGTCCTCGGTAACTTGAACCCATTTTAGGGTTGCGCCATGGTGAAAATCCATGCGAACCCAAAACTGGTTAATTCATTTTTTACTAAGGTCAGATTTGTGCTGGGAATTATAACTTAGATTGGAAATTTAAAAGTTTTAGAGGTTAATAACAAAGGGATTGGTAACAAACTCAGAACTACGGCCAAGATTACAAGATATGTACCGGTAATCATTATGTTGAAAATTGATTCACAAGTTCACAACCCTGACCTGCCTTGACGTAGAGCATGAGGTGGCGGTATGAACGTATATAATTTAGCTTTTTTTTTTTTTTTTTTACTAGATATCAACATGTATATAAATGTCTCTATCTGCTGAAGTGTTTTATGCACTTACCTTGTTTTGCCAGACTGTTGGGTATAAATTAATATGATTACATGGAACAAATGTTTGATTTAGATACTTGCTTAAATGATTCGATTGATGCTGGTCAGTGCTTCTAGTATAGTTACAGCCCAAAAACTACTGGGTTGAACTGTTCTAAATGTGGTTAAAACGGTCAGATATATAGCTGGCTATTACTAAATACTTATTTCACTCGTATTAGAGAAAATTGCTTATTAAAGCTTATGGATTGTTTCTTTGTACGGTGAGAAATATCAGCAGGGAGTCAAATATTCTTTCCCTGAAACACCAATCAATTTCAGTCTTGTGCAGGGTTGTCAAAAAAAAAAATTTGCTACGAGATCGAGGGCTTGACTGGTTCAATGTTTATTAAAACATATTGAAATGAATGCCTCTGTGAACATGTACTCTGCCTCTCACCTGGCTTTTCCCAGCATCCAGCTTCCTTTAAGCCATGGCAGATTTTCAACTTACCCTACCCTAATATGAAGCCTAATATTATTGAGCATATTTTTGGATTACTCGTAGTGTGTAATGAATTGCTAAGTCTCATCACTCAGACAACAAGAGAGAAATAGAAACATTTAAAGTGTATGGTTAAAATAACAACAGGACCACTTTAACCACAGATGTTCTGTGGATGTATATTTCTCACATTCTTCGCTCCCTTAATATCATCACAGACACACTGAAGATGTTGAGATCAGGCCATGCCTGCAGATACTCGATCTCCAGCCTTTTGATCAACTCATCAGCACATAGCACCTGCTGCCATTTTTTGGAGGACCACGCCTGCATATTAGGGAACTTGTTGCCAGATGAGAACGTCCTCCTGGAAGAACTCCTGAGACAGGCCACCCAGAGATGGAGAGATTCACCACTTTGGGCTGTCCATCGATCCGGCTCCTCAATGGAGGGGGCCTGGCGAAGCTTCCAGTGGCTCCTCATCTGGATCCGGCTGGGCTATACAATTCAGTTTTCACACCTTTACCCAAGGAACCGTGGTGTATTACACACCCCTGTCCCAAGGACAGGTGCTTTTGTAATGTGGGAGGAGAACCTCCCCCCTCCATGCAAAGGTACAGTAGAGCCGGTCCCTCCTGCTGACACAGGAAGAAAGTTTTAGAGCCCTTACTTCCTGGTTCTCAAGAAGACTGGTGGGTTGCGACTAGGGATGCTCCGATCCTATGTTTGTATCGGGAGTCTGTATCGATATGATAAAAATTTCCAGTTCAGTAATTGGCCAAAATAGCTTTTATCCAGCGTTTTTTTTTTTTTTTAATCGATCTGACCAAAGTTTACTGCACCATCTTGCGCCCTCGTGATAGTTAGGCGGATCATGTGCTATCATTGCACTGCTGTTTCCAAACAGGCTAAAGAGAAGAGTGCAGCTGACGCTATAGTAATGTCCAAGGCATCACACATTTGGAAGTATTTTACAGTTGTTTGTCCAACAAGCCCGACAGCTGCTTGCAAAATGTGTAAAGCGAATGTTTCACGGGGTGGTGCCAAGAATTCCAATATTAATGCAACAAACTTAATGAAGCCCAGGCAGAGATTTCACTCTAAAGAGCATACAGAGTTCACTGAGCTAAAAAAA